TAATGATAAACCTATTAAATATTTTGGGGAAAAAATTCTTGTTTTCTTTTAACTTTTTTAAGCACTTGAATACAAATTTATTTTATTTTTCCCTGATGTTTCAGGAAAATTATAATATGATATTCCCATTGAAAATCCTAGTTATACATACCTAAAAGAAATACTCCATCAGAATTGAATCTATAATTGTTGAAATTTGGATTAAACCAAATTATTTCCTCAAATACTCATCATAATTTACAAAGCTATGTTTGGGGTAACAACATAATTCTTCTGCTCCTATTGTAAGTACATGAGTACTAGTAATTAATTTTCTTTGTTTTCTTCTTTATTTTTATTTTACCCCTGCTTATTGATCATAGGAATTTTTACTTGAGTAAACTATACATCAGTTTACATTGGTAACTACTGATGCATCTTAGTTCAAGCAATTTTAAGAATTTTTTGGATCATGACTATTTTCAATCATCATATTGATATTTTTATTTTATTGATATATTTTAAAAATATTTAAAAAACAAAACCCCCATTTTAATACAGTCATAAAATAAATGAACATAATTATCTGAAAAAAAAAACATGTTTTAAATATAAAGCAATATATAAAACTAAGAGACGGAGTAGGAAGCATGAAAGAAATGATTGAAAAGGAATCAGAGAATGTTACCTTGCTCAGAAAGACCTTATTTTCAAGCCAAATATTGAAAATTCATTCAGACCAACGCATGTATTTATTTGCCTTTAAAATTGCAATGCCTCTTCCAAAGCTTTGAATGAAAAATGAAAACTGTAAAGAACCATTCTTCAGTTATGTGAAAGCTAAGTCCATTGTTAAATTTGCTGAATTACTCAATTATTGCAAAAAAAATCCTACAAAGATTGCCAAGGGTGATGGTAATGAATGAAATTGATCTAATCTTGCAATATGAAAAGAATTTCTTGGAGTGAAACACTTGTTTCACAGATAAGTCTTAGGGGAAATGACTGGCTAAAGAATCTTTTTTTTTTTTTTTTTTTTTTTATGGAAGAAAACTTATTAAAATGACATAAGAGAAAGCATGGACATTTTAAATCCTAAAGCAAGATTGTCTATTAAAGTCTCACTATAATACAGGCTTCGAGGGAGCTTGCAACTATCCTGAGAAATGAAAGTGTCACAGTTCTTGGCTCAGTTATATATGTACATTCTTGGCCAGGTTCTTTTAATTCTTTCTCATGTCGTAATGTGAATTTTAATTTCCTTTACGATCTGTCAGGTACAGGATTCAAGACTTGCGAGACTACTAGGTGTATTTGATCTCCTTTAAAGACTGGCACCAATAAATGACACTTTGCCTTTCATTTGGAAAGAAAAGCTACTACATGGACAGTGCTAGAGCCAGTGATGAAGTATAGTCCTATGGTACTTGACAGCTTTCAAAGTTCTTTCCTATATATTTGGTTACTTGAATACTGTAGCAACCTTAGCAACTGTTATAGCAACTGTGATAATTCTTTAATTCACTTTGTCACCTACTCCATTCCATGACAGAAACTGACTATAGCTAAACTAACAAACAAACAAACAAACATGCTGCCTAATTACACTTAAAATTTATGATCGAGAATCTCAAGTGAGTCCTTAGTACTATCAGGGGATTTTATTATATTTCCCCAGTCCATTTACTTTCCCAGTTTTTACACAACAATTTCACAACTTTTTCCTCTCTTTCCTCTCAGCTAATAACTTTGCTTCTCAATTATTGAGATAATAGACCCAATTTGAAGAGAATTTCTGAAAATCCTATCATTAAATCTATCATTCCACCTGAGTCTGTACCTACATATTTTACCTTCCTTTCAATAATGGATGAGCCTTTGTTGCTCTCAGATCAACTCCTCCACTTGTCCATCCTATCCACTCTAACCTCCTCAGATATATCACTTCCAATTTCCTTCACGTTCTCTTGTAACATCAATATTCCCTCTCAGAACACAAACATATTATGTTAGCTCTCTTCTTAAAATATTTCTCTCTTAAACTCACATCTCCTTCCTCTAACACACCGATTCTGTAAACTTCTCTAGTGATTTTTAATAGCTCCATTTTCTCTTCTCTTGTCCTATTACATCTTATATATATGTGTGTGTGTGTGTGTATATATATATATATTTTTTTTAATTTTTTAATTTTTTTCTCTCCTATTATCCTTCCACTAAAACCACTCTGTTCTAGGGGACCAGTGATTTGTACATTGTGAAATCCAAGGCTCAACTCCTGTTTCACATCTTGTTTGACCACTCAGCAGCTCCCAACTCCTCTAACCACAACACTAGTGAGAATCCTTTTGTCTCTTGAATACAAGATTATCAACCTTAGCTGGTTCTCTGACTTTACTAATTATTTCCTCTTTGCAGTTTTCTTCTTTTCTTGACTTCTAAATACTGCAGTACCACAGAGCTCAGTCCTTGTACCATTCTTCATCTATAATTAATCTATTTTGACCTCGTACAGAGTGTAGATTTAAATGCTATCTAAATGCTGATTACTTCAAATTTACGTCTTCAGCTGAGTCAACTCTTTTTTTAGACAGCTCCATATTTAAATATTCCAACTGCCTATTTAACATTTTTTCCCTGAATATACCATTTGGCACACCTAGTGTTAATGGATCTGAAGCTGAACTTCCCCAAACCCTCATTCCTGAGTATGCGGTAACTCCTTCCATTTGCTTAGACCACATTTGATCGCTGTATCAAGTACATCCCTTGATGTTTCTTTTTCTCATTCTTCACATTCAGTTTGTCAGTAAATCCTGTTGAGTCTATCTCTGAAAATCATCTAGAGTGTGACCAAGCCACCTTTATCTCCTACCAGCGCTATTTCAGTCATACCTAACTCCTTTCTCTGTTTCTACTCTCTCTCTCTCCTATCTCTTTCAATGAAGCAACTGGGTTATGCAAAATAATAAATTTGATCCAGTCATTTCTGTGCTCAAAACCCTCCAATATGTCCCTATTTTATTCCATTGGCTAATGAGGAACTTATAATCATGGCCCCAGATAATTCTCTGAATTTAGTTCCTCTGATTTCCTCCCTCCCATGTAATTTCTCCAGCCACATTATCCATAGGATTTTCTGGTTCACAACAAAGATACTTCAGTTCTGGGTTTCTTCCACCATGCTATTTTTCCTCTTTTTCCTTACCTTTTTAAGGCCTGGATGCTTTGCTTTTTCTAATTGCATATGAAAATTTCACTTATCTTTCAAGATCCAATTCAAATGTCAACTCAAATGTCTTCTTTTCTTCAGGTGTTCCCTGATGAGTCTATTAAAAATAACTCTTCAAAACAAGCTTTAGTAAGCCTCATATCCTGCTTTGTATGTGTGTCGTAACAGATTTTTATCTAACATAAATTTACAGTGCAAGAATTTTTGTGAGTTTTAAATGATGATCGTCACACAGGGGTGCTCAATAAATATTTGTTAATTAAATAAATATTATAGGCTTTTGGTACATTTGCCTGTTTCTATCTCTAGCCATCTGTGATGCTCTAGGCTATACTCTCCATGTAAAATGAACTTTTGTCTTTTGTTTCAGGGAGTGCCTCAGTGATTAGATCAGTGTCTAACTCATAGTAAGACTTTATCAATACACGCCATGAATGAAAACATTAAAAAAAAAAGGTCAGGCGTTTAAGCCCCCAAAATAATTTACATTGTTATGTAAATTAAAACTGACTTCAGTTCAGATAATTAGCTATAACTGAGTTCAATTTATATTTTTACATCATTTTCTAAAGCAGACCTCTCAATTTCTTTATACAACCTATAGCTCAGTAAAACCAGATCAAATATTATCCCTTAGTATAATAAGAAACTGCATCTGTTTTGCATGTGGTTGTTTCTGGCCTGGATACTTTGCTTTTTCTAATTGCATGTGAAAATTTCACTTACCTTTCAAGACCCAATTCAAATGCCAACTCTTTTTTGGAAACCTTTCCAGATCGCCCCATTCAGAATTAATTATTCTCTTTTCTGGTATTTTACAATTTATTTATGCATTTATTAAACAATTATTTATTGAATTTTCTAGGAAGCATACTAGGTACTATGGAGAAAGGAATCTAGATGAATATTTTACTGTGAATACCCCAGAGTAGATTTTCTAGAGCAGTCGAGAAATTGCATATTGTTATTAATTATCATTTTATATATGTACTACCACTATGTTTCTATGAACAGGTTTCATGGATTATCCTATTTGTGGTTGTTCTGGTTTGGAATACTATGTTTCCTATATAACCAACTGAGAAACAATTTGTTGAAATTAAGTTAAAATATCCATTCATTTCTGAGCCATTTCTACATGTAATTTTTTCTCTGTATTTCATGGAGCTGCATGCTAAAACTTCCAGACTTTCTCTGTTTTGTACATTATTCTCTTCTATAAACAGTATCTGATCTCTCTACACTCAAATAAAATGAAATACAATTTCAGCCAATTATAACTCAAGCTTTATCTCTGCTTTCTTCATTTGAAGACTTCTACTATGATTATTTTTATTTAATGAAATTCCATATAATATTCTTGGTATAGAAAAGAGAAAGTATGATTTTCTTAAACGTGGTTAAACATTTTGAAATTTATGAAAAATATAATTAATTTATTAATTTTATATAATATGTAAACCAAAAAAGTATTTTTTAACTTTGGCTTTTTAATTTTTTTAAATTAGAAAATTAATAACTACAGTTTTAAAGATGTCTTTTTGAGCTCCTGGTTCTCAAGGCTTCTCTGAGTCCAAGGGTTTCCACAGCCCTCCTGCCCTTGCCCCAGCCCAGGACCCCCCTCCGTCCCCTCCCTCCCCGTCCAACCTAAGATCTGTTTAGTGAGAAGGCTCCTGTGTCTGGCAGAGCCAGCGTGACAGGAAGAGACAATCTTTCCCTGCCACGGGATAATCAGACCTTTGAACACACGCTGAGATTGTGAGGAGGCGCCGGACAAAAAGCACAGACTATGCCCCTGAAACGGATTAATGAGTTTAGAAATTTGGCCCATGACCCTCCAGCACAATGTTCTGCAGGTCCAGTTGGGAATGATGTGCTTCATTGGCAAGTCACAATTATGGGACCTAATGGCAGCCCAAATCAAGGCTGTGCGTTCTTTTTGACAACAAATTTTCCTACAGGCTACCCCTTCAAACCACCCAAGGCTGCATTTACAAGAATTTATCATCCAAATATTAACAGTAGTGGCAGCATTTGTCTCGATATTCTAAGATCACAGTGGTCTCCTGCATCAACTATTTCTAAAGTTCCTTTATCCATTTGTTCACTGCTATGTGATCCAAACCCAGATGATCCCCTAGTGCCAGGGATTGTACAGATCTATAAACCAGGCAGAGATAAGTACAACGGAATATCTCAGGAATGGACTCGAAGTATGCCATGTGATGCTACTTTAAAGTCAGAGTAACTTGCATTATAACTGAAATAAGCTTTAAATTACTGTTCCTCTTTTGGTTTTCTTATCCAGCTGCTCCCCTATCAGACTTCATTTTTTAATTTTATTTTTTGTTTACCTTCCTCCATTCATTCACATGCTCATCTAAGAAGAGGTAAGTTCTTCCAGCTTTGGACAATAACTACTTTTAGAAACTGTAAACTAGCCAGGCCAGGCGTGGCTCAGAGGTTGAGCATCAGCCTAGGATCCAGGCGATCGGGGTTCGATTCCCGGTCAGGGCACATGCCCAGGTTGTGGGCTCGAGCAATATGACTCTCTCATCATTGATGTTTCTACCTCTCTCTCTCCCTCTTTTCCTCTCTCTGAGATCAATAAAGATATATTTAAAAAAAAACCTGTAAAATAGTTACAAGAGAATAGTTGCTCATGTTTCAGAATTTTTTTTAAAAAAATAGAGCATATGTATTATGTGGCCAATGTCTTTACTCTAATTTGGTTATGAGACTAAAATCATTCCTCTCTGCTCTAACATGCTGAAGAAATCATCTGAGGGGGCAGGAGATGGATGCTCAGTTGTCACATCAAAGGAAACAATATTATTCTAGCAGCATCCATTCTTGTTTAAGCCTTCCCCTGTTAGAGATCTAAGATTATATGATATACTTTATGTTTATAGCTGATGTGGCTGGAGAATTGGTATTGAATTTATAGCATCAGCTGAACAGAGAATGTGATGTATTTTATGCATGTCAATAAAGGAATGATCTGTTTTTGTTCTACAGAGAATGGAAATTGGAAGTCATACACCCTTTGTATTCCAAAATAGGGTCTCAACGTTTTGTGATTTTCATTTAAATTGTTAGGAGGCTTGGAACCATTAGTTAATCTGTCTTCCAATACACTGTTTAATATAGCACTGAATAAATGATGCAAGTTGTCAATGAATGAGTGATCAACTAAGACTTTTGCTAGTAATTGATTTATTTTTCCTCAATAAAGCTGCATAAACCAAAATAATAATAATAATAATAATAATAATAATAATAATGTCTTCCTGAGACTGCTAAAATACATATTATTTTTATTAGTATATTTTAACTTTATATATTAAACTTTCCTATAGTCATAATAAACAGTTGAAGGTTTAAAATGAAATGGCCTAACACTGAATTCTTCAATCTTATTTTGATCTCTGAACCATTTTCTTGATAATAATTTTATAAATGTACATAACCTAATAAATGTAGTACATATGTTTTTTATTTAATAATGTACAAATTTGCTCAATGTATCTTAAATTTACTTCATTTAGTTAAACCTTACTATCCAGTACTAGTTAAGACACTGGAAAGAAAGACAAATTGGAATAAATACATTTCCTGGCTTCAAGGACATTTGGCATAATCTTTCTGATGTGAATCTTTTTTTCTCTAGGAATTAGGTCATCTGACTTTCCCATAGCACTAGTATAGTGAATTTCAAATTAAATGAAATAACATTAATTGGGCTTCTGTGTGAACAGAAGTTATTTAATGAATGCCTTTGGTTAGATTATACCAATCTCTGTAAGGCTAAAATGCTGCTTAATTTACTTCAGAGACTCTTTTCAGTGACTTTACACCTTTCTACACCATAATAACAGTATGATTAATAAAAAATGACAATTAAAGATTTTTAAATATCAGGAGCCCTTCAAACAGCTTTTGATTCTCCCAAAGATGTAGAAAGAGTTATCATCACTGTGTGGTAATTGGAAAATGAAGTACAGAGTGTTTACACAGCACATAATTAGTAGAGCTAAGATTCAAGACCAGACAGCAATGGGCAAAGACACATTTCTCTCCATAATTAAAACTTCAATTAAGCTATTATTTTAGTACTCACAGACCTCAGCTTCAAGTTCCCTCAAGAACCACGTGGTTGCCAACAACTTTCTATTGAACTGTCCAGGTCAGAATTGTGAATTCACAGTTTTGACATTTCATAAATGTTTATCACCTACTCTTTGACAGGTACCCTTCTTCACTAAGAAGACAAATAAGATTTTTGTCTTCATGAAACTTATACATAGGAACAGTAGAAATTTAAAAATAAACACACAAGATCATTTCAGAGAAAGTGTTATTTTATAAAAAAGAGTTTTGCTGGTCTTTACCTCAGTTCCTGGGAGACAGTCTCTAAATCCTTGGAATATGATGAGTTACGGAAGTATCTCTTTTATTTGTAGTGGATCGTGATTGTTTATGCTCGGGAGATGATTTATGATGAGTTTCTAGATAGTTTATACTAATTAGAAGACTCAGAATGAGGGATGGCCATACCAGAAAAACTAACCATGAGATTAAAGAGTTGAGCTTTGAGTCAAGTTATAGCAGCTGACCTCTGAGCTACTGAGGAGGCGACTTAAACATTTCAGTTCAGTCACATGGCTAAAGATTCAATCAATGACTCTCCAATAAATGTAACAAAACCTCAATAAAAATTGGACACTACAGAGGGTTGGTAATACACATTAATGTGCGGAGAGGGAACTAGTAACTTTGCATCTGGGACCTACTGAGATTGTATCCTATGTGTCTCTTCTTTTGACTGGTTTTTATTTGTATCCTTTTTGCTATAACAAAAGTATAGCATTTTCTGAGTTGTATAATTTGTCCTAGTAATTATCAAACTTTAGGAGGTAGTGGGAACCCCCAATTGGTATACAGTTTGACAGAAATTATATATGGCCTAGGAGCCAAGCTTGGGGCTGATGTCTAAAGTAATGGTAGTTTTGTGACGGTCTGTACCCTAATGTAGTTTGGCATAACTCTGGGTAGTTTGCCTGAGAAATCATTGCAGAAAGGTAATTATTTTCAGGACAGTTAAACAAGATGGTATAAATGAATATGTTTGTGAATTAGTACTTAGAATGAGAAATCAAAGAAGATGGCTCCCAAGGGTGACACTGGAGCTAAACTCCAAAAGATTAGAAAGATTCAGAAATGAGTAATCTAGAGGTAGAACACTTCAGGCAAGAGGAAGCAGCAATTCCAATGTTATAAAAGTGTTTTGGGCGAATAAAACAGCTTACAAGTCTAGAGCAGAAGTAAGCTGATAGAGGGCAAAGATAGATGATAGACGGATCATTAAAAGATAGATTTAACAACTGTGCTAAAGATTGTTTCTGTTCACCAAAATCAATACTCTCCTTTTCTCTATGGACTCACAGCTAAATTATGTTTCTTAGCACCCCTTGCAGTAAGGAGGAGCCACGTGACTGAATTCTAGTTAAGGTGAAACAAATGGAAGTGATGTGTATTGATACTGAGGGTTGAGAGTAGGCTATTTTTAACCAGAATTTTACAAAGAAACTTCTTGGCCATACATTTCAATGAGTGCTAGAAATCACATCAGTAAGAGACTCATCAGAGATAAATGCAATGAGTAATGTGGCAGCAAAAAATAAAATACAATCTAGAGGCCAGGAGTTTGATAAATAAACTAAGGAGCACGGGCAGGGAGTGAGTCATTGGCAATTGTCACAATTGTTAAAATGTCTTTATTTTGTTATTCTTGTGATTCTAGCTGTAGAGTTCTATTATATGCTAGACATGAAAGCATAGGTTTTAGGTAAACCATAATAATAACTATATTAAATATCAAATATGATTTAGACAATGATTCTATATATAGTATCTCAAAACACACAAATCATCCAAAATATACTATGTGGAATAGACTATGGAGTGTTAAGGTAATAAGATTTGGGAAGGTTGAGGTAAATAATTTGCTTACTGTCCAGCTATTATGTAGTAAATCCTACATTAGAACTCAGCTTGACTGACTTCATCAACTTCACTCCTACAGAGCAACTGCTTCTGAACACTGAACTTAATCAGAAATAAGCACTTGTGAGTGATTAGACTAATCAATCAGGATGACTGACTGATCTTGGCACTTTAAAGATAGATATCTTAGCATCAGAAAAACATAACCATAATTGTATTTCTCTGCATAACTTCTTTTCTACTTGCTTATCTCAAATTTAATTAAAAACTTCACTAATGGAAAAGAGAAAGTGGAGAGTTTTTTTTTTAATTTTACATTTTTATTTATTTTTATTGAATTTATTGAGGTGACGATTAATAAAATTATATAGGTTTCAGGTGTACAATTCTGTAATTCATCATCTGTATATTGTATTGTGTGCTCACCACCACAAGTCAAGTCTCCTCCCATCACCACTTATCCCTCCTTTACCCTCTCTTACCTCTTCCCATCCCATGTTTCTTCTGGTAACCACCATACTGTTATTTGTGTCTATGTTTTTTGTTGTTGTTTGTTTTGTTTTGTTGTGGTGGTTTTTTTGCTTAATCCCTTCACTTTTTTCAGTGACACCCCCTCCCCTCTGACAGCTGTCAGTGTGTTCTCTGTATCTATGAGTCTATTTCTATTTTGTTTGTTAGTTTATTTTGTTCATTAGACTTCACATACAGTGGTGCCTTGGTTTTCGAACATCTCCGTTGATGAACATTTCGGGTTACGAATGCCTTAAACCCTGACGTCAATGCTTTGGTTTTCGAACATGCCTCGGAAGTCAAACATGCCACGTGGCTTCCGCTGAGGGCAAGATCCTGAGGCCCAGCTGTCGGCTGTGGATCCCTCAGCTTTGGAACATTTCAGAGCTCAAACAATCTTCCAGAACAGATTCCATCAGAAAACCCAGGTGCCACTGTATAAGTGAAAGAATATCATGTGACTCTTGGTCTTTATTTTACATCACCTTAAGAAAAGCTGTCTAAAAGCACTCTTCCCACTTTGGTATAATAATAGATTAATGTGCTCTGACAGTAGGCATAATACTTCTATTGCTATAATTCAACAAGAAACAAAGTTTAAAGTGAAACGATATCAATTACACAGTAGGTGTACTGTTTTGCAGACACATGGAGCAGGTTGATTTAAGAAGATGACAGCTTGCCCGGCCTGCATGGCTCAGGGGTTGAGCATCTACCTATGATTGAGGTTCA